CACGCGTCCGCCACGCCCAGTACAGCGTTTCGTGGCCCCATTGGGAGCTCCACCCAAGGCCCCAGTGGGGGTGGACACATGCGCCCGCCACACCTAGTACAGCGCTTCGTGGCCCCATAGGGAGCTCCACCCAAGGCCCCAATGGGGGTGGCCACATGCGTCCGCCACACGCAATACAGCGTTTCGTGGCCCCACAGGGAGCTCCACGGAAGGCCCCAGTGGGGGTGGCCACATGCGCCCGCCACACCCAGTACAGCGTTTGGTGACCTCATAGGGAGCTCCACCCAAGGCGCCAGTGGGGGGGGGCTTCATGCGTCCGCCACACCCAGTACAGCGCTTCGTGGACCCATAGGGAGCTCCACCCAAGGCCCCAGTGGGGGTGGCCACATGCGTCCGCCACACCCAGTACAGCGCTTCGTGGCCCCATGGGGAGCTCCACCCACGGCCCCAGTGGGGTGGCCACAGGCGTCCGCCACACCCAGTACAGCGCTTCGTGGCCACATAGGGAGCTCCACCCAAGCCCCCACTCGGGGTGGCCACATGCGTCCGCCACGCCCAGTACAGCGCTTCGTGCCCCCATGGGGAGCTCCACCCAAGGCCCCAGTGGGGGTGTCCACATGCTTCCGCCATCCCCAGTGCAGCGTTTCGTGGCCCCACAGGGGCTTCTACGTTAGGTTTCAGTGTGGGTGGCCGCATGCGCCCGCCAGACCCATTACAGCGTTTCGTGGCCCCATAAGGAGCTCCACCCAAGGCCCCAGTGGGGGTGGACACATGCGCCCGCCACACCCAGTACAGCGCTTCGTGGCCCCATAGGGAGCTCCACCCAAGGCCCCAGTGGGGGTGGCCACATGCGTCCGCCGCACCCAGTACAGCGCCTCGTGGCCCCATAGGGAAGTCCACCCAAGGCCCCACTGGGGGTGGCCACATGCGTCTGCCACACCCAGTACAACGCTTCGTGGCCCCGTAGGGAGCTCCACAGAAATACACAAGTGGCACCGCCCGCATGCGTCGTCCACCACCCAGTATTGCAGTTCGCGGCCCCCGTGATTGGAAGTTCCACCAAGCCCAAGTGGCCCGCCCGCATGCAACCCCCCACCCACTGTAGCGGTTCGTGGGCCCGTAGGGAGCTCCTCCGAAGGCCCTAGTGGCACAGTCCGCATGCGCCCCCCCCCCTTCCGTGGCCTCATATAGGGAGCTCCACCGAAGGTCCGAGTGGCACCGCCCGCATGCGTCGGCCACCACCCAGTGCAGCGTTTCGTGGCCCCGTAGGGAACTCCACAGAAGGACCCCAACGGCACCGCCCGCATGCGCTTCCCCGTGCCAGTGCAGTTATTCGTGGCCTCATCGGGAGTTCCAGCGAGGGGCACCGCCCGCATGCGTCAGCCACACCCAGGACACCGCTCCGTGGCCCATAGGGAGCCCCAACGAAGGGCCCAATGGCACCGCCCGCATGCGTCTCACCCACCCATTACGGCACGTCCCTCACGCGTTTCGTGGCCACATAGGGAGCTCCACCGACCCACGAGGCATTATTCACAATTGCATATGGTTGGGGTCTTTCGCCAGGATAATGTTAAGCGTCTCTTCGGTTGTTGTGGCGCCGCTGTGGGTGTCGGCGTTTTCTTTTGGCTTCTTCGACGCGTTATTGGTTCTTTGGTTTACGGCGCTCTCTTGGGTTTCGGTGCCTTTTTTGTTTTCGGCGCTTCTTTGGCTGTCGGTCCTTTTTCCCACATCCCAAGCGTTGCTTTGTTTTCTCTGGGCACCCCGCGCGGGAACTGGATGGAAGTACCACCCCTTCTCGTATCACACACACACACACCCGTATCATCATCGAAGCTTCAACATCGTTTACACTCACTCACGCTCATTCGACCACTCTCGTTCATTCACTCTCAATCACTCACTCACTTATTCCCCACATCCTGAGTGGGGTTCTCGTTTTCTCTGAACACCCCGCGCAGTCCTGCCACCTCACCCCTCCCCTCTTCTGCCTTCGCACGTTCACCCGCGCAATTACTCGCGCACCATCATCATCATTCTTCTCCCTTCGCACACTCATTCACTCAATCATTCGCACCATCATCATTCACATCATCATGATCATCACTCGCCTGTGTGTAGTCTCGGGCGGGAGCTTCGTCTGTGAGTGAGTGAGTGAATTGCGAGGAAGAATCAGGCGGGAGCTCCTCCCTATGGGGTCAGCCCTTCACGTTTGAATCCGAGGCGGGTCATCGGCTTCCTGTAACAGTTGTCATTTTTGGGCTCTTGAGGCTTGAATATGGAGGACGTATCAGGCGGGCGACTCGTCTGTGAGTGAATTGCAAGGAAATCCCTGGCGGGACCCCCCTTTCGATGGGGCCCGCACTTCATGCTCGAATCCGAGGCGGGTCATCGGCCTCTTGTAACTGTCGTCATTTTGAGTTCCTGAGGCCTGAATCTGGAGGAAGTATCATGCGGTATCCTCGTCTGTAAGTGAATTGCGAGGAAGTCTCAGGCGGGATCCCCCTCCCTATGGGGCCTGCACTTCATGCTCGAATCCGAGCTGGGTCATCGGCCTCTTGTAACCGTCGTCACTGTTCGGCTCTTGAGGCCTAAGCATGGAGGAAGTATAAGGCGGGAGCCTCGTCCGTGAGTCAATTGCGAGGAAGTCTCGGGCAGGAGCCCCTCTTCTATGGGGTCCGCACTTCATGTTCGAATCCGAGGCGGGTCATCGGCCTCTTGTAACTGTCGTCACTTTTGGGTTCCTGTGGCCTGAATACGGAGGAAGTATCAGGCGGGATCTTCGTCAGTGTGTGAATTGCGAGGAAGTCTCAGGCGGGACCCCCCTCTCTATGGGGCCTGCACTTCGCGTTCGAATCCGAGGCGGGACATCGGCCTTTTGTAACCCGTCGTCGCTGTTGGGCTCTTGAAGCCTGAGCATGGAGGAAGTATCAGGCGGGATCTTCGTCCGTGAGTGAATTGCAAGGAAATCTCAGGCGGGAACCCTCTTCTATGGGGCCCGCACCTCACGTGCTTTCTCCGGGTCGTCCTCCGGCGCGCGTCTCTTTCGGGTCGTGGTCCGGCGCGTAGCCGTTGGGACGCACGTCGTGCGTTTCTTCTAGGCCGTGTTCCGCAAGAGGAGGAGGAGCAGGAGGAGGAGGAGGAGGAGGAGGAGGAGGAGGCGGAGGAGGAGGAGGAGGAGGAAGAAAAAGAGGAAGAAAAGGAGGAACAAAAGGAGGAAGAGGAGGAGGAGGATGAGGCAGAGGGGAACAGGACGAGGAGGAGGAGGAGGAGGAGGAGGAGGAGGTGGCGGAGGAGGAGGAGGAGGGGAGCAGGAGGAGGAGCAGGAGGACGAGGAGGGGGACTGCCCTAGGAGGCCCCTGGAGGTCCTGGTAGGCCCAGGAGGCTCCAGGAGACCCCAAGAGGCCCCAGGAGGCCTCTGGAGGAGGCAGGAGGCCTAAAGGAGGAGGCAGGAGGAGGAGGAGGAGGAAGAAAAGAAGGAAGAAAAGGATAACGAAAAGGAGGAGGAGGAGGAGGAGGCAGAGGGGGAACAGGACGATGAGGAGGAGGAGGAGGAGGAGGAGGAGGAGGAGGAGGAGGACGAGGAGGGGGAGGCGGAGGAGGAGGAGGAGGGGAGCAGGAGGAGGAGCAGGAGGACGAGGAGGGGGAATGCCCTAGGAGGCCCCTGGAGGTCCTGGTAGGCACAGGTGGCTCCAGGAGACCCCAAGAGGCCCCAGGAGGCCCTTGGAGGAGGCAGGAGGCCTAAAGGAGGAGGCAGGAGGAGGAGGAGAAGGAGGAGGAGGAGGAGGAGGAGGAGGAGGAGGACGAGGACCAGTGGAAACCGAAGAATCATCAACGATGTTGGAGTTAACCCTCCCTCCAAGCTCCCTCTTTATAGGCTCCATACAACGGTTCATTTCCATTGAGGGAACTACCTCGTTGGAAGACAACAGTTTGAAGATCCTGAAGCGTGCAAAAACATTGTTCTTGGGGCTTCAATGCCGCGTAACAACTTGACTGCTGCGTCTTGACGATCCAGAATCGTGCCAGAACTCTATCTTCGGGACTTCAACACAGCGAATCAACATACATTTTGCGCCCGCATAAACCTGAATCGCTCAAACATACTCTGGTGCGTTGATCAAAGGAACCCGTGGAACTTTTCAATTTAAAAAAGCGAATGTACGCGGCGCTAATGCGAGAGCCACATTTTGAAAACGGAGCCGCCTTCAATCCGTGAATTTCTTGCAACTGTTATAGAGAACGAATGTACACGGCGCTAAGGCGAGAGCCACATTTTGAAAAGGAACCGCCCTCAATCCGTGACATCCTTGCATGTTTTAATGTGCGCGGCGCTAAGGTGAGAGCCACATTTTGAACACCAACCGCCCTCAATCCGTGAAGCTCGTGCAGTTTGTGAGAACGAATGTGCACGGCGCTAAGGCGAGAGCCACATATTGAAAACCACCCGCCCTCCATCCGTGAAGCTCTTGCACATGTTTTAAGCGGATGTGCGCGACGCTAAGGCGAGAGCCACATTTTGAAAACCAGCCGCCCTCAATCTGTGAAATTGTTTTCATTGTTTCAGCTTCAGAGTCATAAGCGGTGAGGAAGTCTCAGGCGAAACGCCCGGCCCGCCCTAAAAACTGGCCTCGGGGTGCGACAGGGAGGAGTTATCTAGAAGGCGGGGGAATGGAGCAGGAGGAGGGGGAGGAGGAGGAGGAGGAGGAGGAGGAGGAGGAGGAGGAGGAGAAGGGGGAGGAGGAATATGGAAACGAGGAGGAGGCGGAGGAAGGAGGTGGAGAGGAGGAGGAGGGAGAGGGGAGGAGGAGGAGGAGGAGGAGGAGGAGGAGGAGGAGGAGGAGGATTCTGCTGGATTCTGCTGCCTTGCCACTCACGTGGCCAGCACGCGGCCGATCCTTCTCCTTTTATGCAGGGTCGCAGGAGGAACACGAGCCTCCGCGACCCAGGACGGCCGCCGCAGGAGGAACACGAGCCTCCGCGACGGCAGCGGCGCAGGAGGAACACGAGCCTCCGCGCGAAGAGACAGCCGCGGGAGGAACACGAGCCTCCGCGACAGCAACCGCCGCAGGAGGAACACGAGCCTCCGCGACAGCACCGACCGAAGCGCCGCAGGAAGGCACGACCCTCCGCGGCACTCAAAACTCGGCCGTCTTGGCGGGGAAGGTGCGGAAGGAGTCGGGGAGGCCGAGATTTACCATGACCTCATGCTGCTCAGTCTCGTCCAGAGCCAAGTACGCATCGGCGTCGGTCATCTCATCAACGGCGTCGTCACGCTCGACCACAACACGGGCCAGGGCGGCCTTGGCAGACTCAACGCTCAGGGTTGCCTGGTTCAAGACGGCATGCTTCCTGGCGCACTCGGCCACGGCGTCCTTCTTGCCGCTGGTGCCCCCCGTCTTCACCGCCTTCTGCTCCTTCTCTTTCTCGGCGCCCTTGGCCTCAAGCTCCGCGCCGAAGGTGTGCACCTGCATCTCGTTCGGCTGCACCCTATCCTTCACGGCCACCATCCTGAGAGGGTCGGCGTCCGACCCCGCAAGGCTCTCCTGTTCCGTGAGCCCATCGCCCGTGCTGCCAGCATCGGAGCCAGCGAGGTGGGAGCGCACGTCCCTCGCCAATCCGACATCAGGATGCCCTTGCGCGTTACGAAGCTTGCTCAGCCTCCCGACACGGGAAGCGAGCTTCGGCGCGCCACGCTCGCGCAGAATGTTCTTGGCGTCCTGGACCGAGACGGGGTCCGTGAAGTTCATTGCATCCTTGACCGCGTCGAGGACCACCTCGAGCTGCACCAACTCGCACTTCTTGCCGTAGCCGTCGTCGCCACCATGCGCGCATGCTGCCGATGCGCCTGCCGCCATGCCCTGGACAGCCCCGCGCGCTGCAGCCGCCACCACTGCTGCGGTGACCTTGGTGCCGCACTGGCCACCATGACCGGCGAGTGCTGCCAAGGCCGCGCCAAATGCCGCCTGGGCGATCGGCAGCGCCGTCATCGTCTCCAAGAGGCCATCCATCCCCATCGCACGAGGGAGAAGGCCGCGTGAGCGGCCCGCCGCGACCAGCTCGGCGCGCGCCGAGCCTGAGCCAAAAATGGCTACAGAGGAGGAGGAGGAGGAGGAGGAGGAGGGGGAGGAGGAGGAGGAGAGAGGAGAGGAGGAGGGAGAGGAGAGAGGGAAAAGGAGGAGGAGGTAGGAGGAGGAGGAGGTGGTGGTGGTGGTGGAGGAGGAGGAGGAGGGAGGAGGAGGAGGAGGAGGAGGAGGCGGAGGAGGAGGAGGAGGAGGAGGAGGAGGAGGAGGAGGAGGAGGCAGGGGTTGAGGCAGGAGGAGGAGCAGGCATGAGGAGAAGGAGGCGGCAAGAGTAGGTGGGAGAAGGGAGGGGGCAGGGGGAGATCCCCAGGCAAGTTAAACAGATACTCATTTGGGATCATACCGTCGGAGTAATTTGGTTTACGGCGCTCCTTTGGTTTTTGCCGCTCGTTCGATTTTCGGCGCATCATTGTTTTTCTGCACATCCTCTGAGTGTGGCGACCTGTTGGTTGGCGGCGCCCTTCTGGTTTCCGGCGCGCCTTTGATCTTCTGCGCTTATTTGGTTTTCGGCGCCCTTCTGGTTTCAGGCGCTCGTTTCGTTTTTGGTGTTCTTTTCGGTGGCGCTTCCTTCGTTTTTTGTGCTCCTTCGGGTTCCCGCGCTCTTTCGTATTTCCGCGCTTTTTTTGGTTTTCGGGGCAGCGTTGGGTTTCGCAGTTCTTTCGGTTTTTAGCGCCTGTTGGGGGGAAGGGGGAAGCTTCGTTTCCGAGGCCCCCCCCCTTTGGGAAAGGGAGGGGGGAAGGGGGAGGCAGCCAAGGGGGACCCCCCCCTCCTTTGGGAGCGCGCCACGGGCGCGCTCTCTCTTACATATGTCCGTTGCCCAGCACTTCCACTTGGATGGGCGTCTTCAGCTCTGAGAATCCGCATCGTGCACGAGTTGTCCATTCATAGCGGCTTGCATTCGAGCCTAAGCGCAGATGACTGTACTGGTCCCTTGCATGTGTGGGTCTGGCGAAGTACTGAAAACGCTATTGACCAGGATCGGCTTTTGCATGGAAGCGCAGTCGCTGAATCTGGCAGTGTTAGCAGTGCGTCTTCTGTTTGCTGGAAGTACCTGCCCGCCCGACGGAAGGAGGAACTCGACCCGGTCATCTTCGCGTCGGGGGCCATCGAGGCGGGCGGCCTCAATCTGGAGCCCTGGCTGGGGGAAAAAGGCAAGTCGAGGATGACCGGAAGTTGGGCGTGCTAGGGTCACTAGACGTGTTGCAGGAGCGAAGGTAGAGAATGTAGGTGTAAGAGAGAGGACGAGAAACGAGGCAAGGTGAGGAGATGGGATGATGGGGGCAAGAGATCGAGGAGGGAGGGGGATGATCGTTTCCGTCCGAGGCTGCCAAGCGGCATCATGCTCGACGGCTGTGTGAAAGTTTGTGGGCAGCTTCGGTCTTCACACTGAGTCTGATTGCCAGATCGTATTGATAGACTTCGAGCCGTAGTCCAAGTCCAAGTCCAAGGGGGGAGGAGGGGACGGAGGAGGACAACGACGACGACAACGACCAAGATGCGCGATACGCGCCGCTCTTCACTGGCCGCGGAAGAGCAATTTACAGATGCTTGATCTGCGCTGGGGGTGGGACGTTCTTGTCTGTGGTCTTGTTCGGCGAGTTGCAAGGTGGTAGCCGCAGTGGTGTCGGTGCATCCCTCGGCTTGTCAGAGCTCATTGGACGCAGCCGGAGCGGGAAATGAGCAACCGAGTGTGGGGGAGGGAGGAGTGGACGCAAGGAGGGTACAGGAAAGGCAAGGCCGCTGCTGCAGGAGCGAGAGGAGACCAGTGGAATGAGCAGAATAAGCTAGCATGAAGGGAAGAGGTGCGACTCAGGGGTGGGCGATCGTGGCGCAAAAGTGCCGAGATCGGCAGGAACGGGACCAGAGGAAAGGATCGGAGTCGACCGACGGAGCTTGCAAGAGTGACCCTGGGGAAGGCCAGATGATCATGCAATCCAAACCGGGATCCATGAGTAAGCCGACCCTACAAGGTCATCGGTGCCCTCACGTCCTCTCAATCCGTCCTCATGTGCTCTTCGTTTCTGGGGCAGGCGTGCCCTCGGAAGAGTCTTGTTCCCTTTTGGATGTCTTCGGCGATGGACCTCAACTTTCGGGGGATCCCCCGCTCCCCTCCCCCTCCCACCCCTCCCAGGAAAGGTCGGCGGGGGGGGGGGGGCCGAGCAGCAGCAAAGCGCGGCTGGCTGGTCCGCCAGGACACGTTCTTGCAGATCATCCGCCAGAACTCGATGTCTGATTCCAGGCTGATCGAGGCGCCTACAGCTCCGCGGCCGGTAGCACTGAGTCTCCAGACCGTCCACGCTACCTGCTCTCGGGATGGCGTCTCGCTTGGAGGGGAGAGGGCTCCAGGCGGAGGTTTAGAGAAATCGTGCTACCCAGCGAATGCACGGAAGTATCTTGACGCCACTCCTCTTGGTCATTGGTCTCTTCTTCCTCCTTCCTTTCTCTCTTAGAAGCCCTTGCGTAGGTCTGGAAGGTCTTTGCGTACATGCCCCTTCAACTCCCGCTCGTCTTTTTCGTGTCATTCCCAAGTGGTTTTGGGTCTTCGTTTTGAAGAGACAGCGCCCCGCAATCCTCACTCCTCCTCCTCCTCCTCCTCCTCCTGCCCCTCCTCCGTCCTCCCATACTGCCGCTGCACTCCGCATGTCTTTGGTTCGGTACACCCCTCACACGTTTCGTTGCCCCATATTGAGCCCAACCTTAGGCCCAAGCGGCAGGGTCCGCATGCAGTTCTATCCCCCATTTCGGCGCAACCTTCATGCCGTTCGTGGCTCCGTATGGAGCTCTACCGAAGGCCCCAGTGGCAGGGTCCGCATGCAGTTCCACCCCCCATCTCGGCGCACCCCTCAGACGTTTCGTGGCCCCATGGGGAGCTCCACCCATGGCCCCAGTGGCAGGGTCCGCAAGCAGTCCACCAGCCCATCTCGGCGCACCTCTCACACGTTTCGTGGTCTCGTAGGGAGCTCCACCGAAGGTCCCAGAGGCAAGGTCCGCACCAAGACGGCCCAAGTCAGCCCAAAGTGTGCCTAAGAAGCCAGCAAGGCGGCCCAAGACAGTCCCCAGAGCGCCCAAGATACATCCAAGACAATATCGGAGAGGTCCAGGAAGGCCCCAAGACGGCCCATGAGCGCTCCAAGAGGGCCCCATATGGGTTCGCCCCCAAGACGCCCCAAGAGGCCCCCAAGGGGACTCCCAAGAGGAAAACATCGTCTCATTCCTTTGAGGCAAACGTGCATGTTAGCATATTAGCTTCTTTGGTTTTGACTGTGTCCAAGATGGCCCAAGAGGCCCCCAAGATCGCCCCAGGAAGGCCTAGGATGCCCCCACGAGCGTCCCAAAACAGCCCGAGAAGGCTCCAAGACGGCCCAAGAGCCCAAGACGGGTCCCAGAGGGCACCGAAAGGTTCCTATGAGAGCCCCAAGAGGGCCACGGGAGGCCACATGAGGTCCCCAAGAGCGCGCCCAGAAAGCCCAAGACGGCCCAAGCCCGCCAAGACGGCCCACGAGGGCCCCCAAACAGACCAAGAGGGCCCCAAGACGACCCAAAGAGCCCCAACAGGACCCACAGAAATCCCAGAAAATACCATATTCATTAATTTCCGCAATGTTTTTTGTTTGATTTTTGCATGTCGTACCAAAACTTTCACACCAGCAGGGCTACAAGACACTAGCCAGCGACCTCGCGTCCTCACAGAAAGAACCGCGCTTTCCGTCCTTATGCCAAGCAGGTGACGGAAAGAGCGAGGTACGAGTGATGACGTTCTGGTGGGGCGAAGCGGAGGGGTCCAGGGGAGGGGCGAGGCGCGCCCGCATGTGACGGACAGAGCGAGGTACGAGTGATGACGTTGAGTTGGGGCGAAGCCCTCTAGGGAGGGGTCCAGGGGAGGGGCGAGGCCCGGGTGATACCAGGTAACGGCCGCCGGGGAGCCGTTTCCCTTGTACGTGTTCTAGTGAAGCGGCTTGCGGGCGCCTTCCACGGCCCGTTTCTTCGTATTTTTCCGAGGGAAGCGGCTCAAGGGCCCCAAGACGACCCAAGAGGGCACCAAAACGACCCAAAGACGGCCCCAAGAGAGCTTCGGATGGCCTCCAGACGGTCCAAGAGAGCCTCGAAATGGCTCCAGAGACCCTCGAGAGGGCCCTCGAGAGGGCCTCAGGCGCGCAAAAACATTGATTTCCCTATGGCTTTTGAATGTTTTTCGGGTTCTCGCCTTTCCGGGCCCAGACGGGCCCAACACGGCCCATGAGGTCCCAAAGCTCGTTCAAAGACGGCCCCAGAGGCCCCCCAAAGAGGCGGCGAACGGTCCGAGAGGGCCCCCAGACGGCCCAAGAGGGCTCCCAAACAGCCCATATGGCCCCAAGACGGCCCCAAGACGGCCCCAATCCTCATTCCTCCTCCTCTTCCCTCCTCTCATACCTGCCTCTGCACTCCGCATGTCTCTGGTCCGGTACACCACACGTTTCGTTGCCCCATATGGAGCCCAACCTTAGGCCCAAGCGGCAGGGCCCGCATGCAGTTCTATCCCCCATCTCGGCGCACCTTTCATGCCGTTCGTGGCTCCGTAGGGAGCTCCACCGAAGGCTCCAGTGGCAGGGTCCGCATGCAGTTCCACCCCCCATCTCGGCGCACCCCTCACACGCTCCGTGGCCCCATGGGGAGCTCCGCCCATGGCCCCAGTGGCAGGGTCCGCAAGCAGTCCACCAGCCCATCTCGGCGCACCTCTCACACGTTTCGTGGTCTCGTAGAGAGCTCCACCAAAGGTCCCAGAGGCAAGGTCCGCACCAAGGCGGCGCAAGTCAGCCCCAAGTGCGCCTAAGAAGCCCCCAAGACGGCCCAAGACAGTCCCAAGAGCGCCCAAGATACCTCCAAGACAATGTCGGAGAGGTGTAGGAGGGCCTCCAGACGGTCCATGAGCGCTCCAAGAGGGCCCAAAATGGTTT